ACTCTTTATACCGTAATTTTCATAGGCATCACACCTAAGTGACAAACCCCATAAGACACAAATTTTGCTTTAAACAATCATACGTATTTTCAATAAATTAAGAGAAAAAGTGCCAGTCTTTTCTATTTGTCTAGAAATTCACTATTTCCAACAGTATCATTTCCCTTCAGGAAATACTAAAGGAATTTCCTTTAGTATTTCTTATAATACAGGTCTACTGGTGATGAATTCTCTTAGCCTTCTGACATGTCTTTATTTTGCCTTCATTCTTGAAGGATAATTTTGCTGTATGTAGAATTCTGGGTTGACATTTCCTTTTTGGCACATTAAAGATGTTGTTTCACTATCTTTTGGCCTCCCTTGTTTATCAGAAATCAGCAAATATTGCTTCTTTGTTCCACGTGATGTCCCATTTTTATTTAGTTGATTTCCATCTTTTTTCCCTTATTTATGAATTCAGCAGTATAACTATGATGTCTCCAGGTATTACTCTGGTTGGAGTATGATGAGCTTCTTGAATCAAAAGTTTTATGCCTTTCATCACATTTGGGAATTTATTTCTGCTCCATTTACTCTCTTCCTTCCTAGAAGTAAGAGTACGAATTACTAGAATAACTAGAACTCCAATTACTCCTATGTTAGACATTTTAATATTTTTGAACCAGTCCTTGAAACTGTTCAATTTTATCTCTGCCATTTTTCTCTCTTTTCTTTAGATTCGATCATTTTCATTTGACCCCTTTTCAAGTTCATGGATTCTTCCCTATGTTGTCTCTATTCTGCTAGAGGATGAATTTTTATTTCAGATATTTTACATTTTAGTCTAGAATTTTTATTTGGTTGCTTTTTATAGCTTGTATTTTTCTGACGAAATTTTACAACTTTTTATTCATTAGGAGTATCTTTTCCTTTACATGACTGAACGTAGTTAAAATCCTTACCTGCTAATTCTAACATCTGGGTCATCTGCCATTGTCTTTTTGTAAGTGTTGACTCTCCTCCACAATCTGCCTGCTTTATTTGACTCCAAATAGTTGTCCTATGTGCAAGTGTGTGTGTGTGTGTGTGTGTGTTCAAACTCTTAAATGTCTCAGCAAAGGGTGGCTAATCTGATGGTGAGATCCTGAAAAAGAGAGAACAAATACTTTCATCCTGCTTTATTTAACCCATGAAGGTGCAGGAAGAGATTGACTTCATTCTCTGTAGAGGGCCTAGCTGGCTCTGTGGCACAATGGACACAATGCATTGTCTATAGGAGGCCTTGTGTACATACACATGTGCACTCACACATGGGGCAGAGCCCATAATCTTTGCTGACAACAGCATGCAGTGTATAAATCTCTGTAGCTCAGACCCAGAACCTGAAAAATTTAGACCTAACATCATTTTGACCCAGTAAGAATGTTAGCTGGAAATTAGTTTATAGCCCAGGAGCTATTTTTTAAAGATCTGTAGGCTTACTAGCCATGACAGTAATGATGATGAAAATGACATCGTCATCACCAATAGCTGCTGCCATCTATTGATCCCATAACATGGGATCATATGTTATCTCTGTCCTCACAACAATCCATTTCACAGATGAAGAAACAGACTCAGTAAGCATGTGATCACTTCTCACAACTAATGGAGCCAGGATTCTGTCCTTACGGCTCCAGAGACTTCTTTTTTTTCCCCACTGTACCACAACACTCACCAGGACTGGAGTGCCATCTATGACCTCATTGCATAATGGATGGCTTGTCCTCAAATGGGCCCAGGTATATGTACATGCATACTTATGTCTATAGGGGAGAGGGGAAATTGATCCACTTTCCTCCACTCTAACTCCAGATCTCAGCTGCCAAGTGGAAACTCCATTCTCACACCACAGCTACAGCACTGGGGGAAAGCGAAGGAAATAACTGAAGAGTAAGGAATTGGGCGAGGCTTTGAGGTCTGGATGTGACAGGTAGTTTGCGCGTAGTTGGAATGCAGTAACATTGGTCCACAAGGTTTGTCAGAAACTCTGATTATTTTGGAAGGTACCAAGGTTTTGTCCTCTTCAGATATCATGAAAACAGGAAATTCTGTAAACATGGCCACTGAAGGGCTAGCTCATTTCTTGGAAAAGGAGTTTCTGGAGAGTTCTCAGAGCATATAAATAGCAGGGCCATAAAGACAAAGGTAACCATTCAAGGAATGGAGAAGTGTATTCTCAAAAATTACACGCCAAGCCAGAGCTGTGGTTCAGAAAGGGGGTTTTATGTTGTTTCTGTTGTTGTTTCGGTTTTGGCCTCAGAAAGGATGCGCGGCCCTGCTGTAAACAACCTCTCAGCACTGGGAAGGGTGTGCCTACAAGGCTGGTGTAGACGTCCAGAGCCTAGCCTATATAGGAAGGTCCAGAGACCCACAGAGAGGCCTGCATTTGACAGAGAAGCATTTCTTTCTAGAAGAGGGCACCTGGGAGATATTTCCAGAGGGCTTGTTGTGACTTGTCATGTAGCTCTTCCCCCATGTTTTCTGCAGGGAGGTACCAGGCACCTTTGAGCAACCAAGGACCCAAGACTTGAGATAGACACTAATCGCAGCTGGACACTCTCAATGCTGAGGATGTAGATGCGCAAACCAATGGAGGGAGGCCTAGTACTACCAGGAGCCATTGAAGAAGAAATCTTCAGATCCTACCAGGCCCATAGCTGTTGCCTTTGTGGGCTCCTGGGTTAATTTCCACGTATCAGTGGCCCATCCTATGACATCCTCACTGCATGCCATACTCCCAGCGATGTTCTGTGGACAGCCATTATTTCCAGTAATTGCTAAGGGGAGCCAGTCTCCAAAGAGTAATGAATCAGAGGTGTTCCTTGGAATGTCTTACACTAGGACTTCGTTGATCCCACAGGCTCCTTTCCGGATGAGCTGACCCTAATCTCTGGGAAGCTGGATCTGGAGGAACAATGGGATGGGATTTGCAGTGACCCTTCCCACCCTTCTTGAGCAGCTTGTGAACCAGAAGATGTGCCTGGAGAGAAAGCCTCATTTGGGGAAGTGCAGTAGTCGAAGTTCTTTATTTTGAAAATGGAGAACAACCCTCCTCATAATCCTGTCTCCCTTTCCCCCTTTCCAACTAGAATATCAGTTCCCCTGAACATGAGTCAGTCACATGTCAAGGAAAACTGGCTGATGATGAAGAAATCACTAGAGGGCAAACTTTGTCCTTCCAGCTGTGGGTCTCTGAACTATAGAGCCAGCAGATCCCCCAGTGTAAGGACTGGGCCTTCCTCGCCCATTGAATGCTTTCTATACATGAAGACTTGGAGCTCTTTACAGATGACAGTAGCCAGTGAGGAAGATAAAAGAAGAGGAAAGACCCAAAATGCGGGTTTGCCACTCTTTGTTGCCAGCACCATGAGGATAGTCACTCTGCCTTCTTTCCACCACCTCCAACTTCACACACACACCCAAACTCTGGTCCCACAGAGCCCGTTTGGTAACTGCCTGACCGCCCACCTTGAAACCAGATGGTCATGAACCTGTCACCAAGTCACCTGAAGATCTTCCACTGCAACCTGTGTGGTATCTGCCATAGGGACCATGGGACATGATTGAAGACCCACTCCAATGCAGTTGATAAAGGGGTGGGTCTGCACTGAAGTTAGGTGCACCAGGGCCTGGGCCAAGGGTGGGCTGGGTCCGTCATGTGTGTAGTGGTCTTCTTCAGAGTAGCAGCTGATTCAGAAGGATTCCAGAGAACTGCACAGACAAGGTCTAGTCAGGTATCTTGGACATTTTCTATTTCTAGATTAGAGAATATAGCATATGCTGATTTTAATATAACTGCATATGTGACTTTTTCAATGAGAAAAATTTTAAGTGATGTTATAAACAATTTTTGGCATATAGAGAGAATAGTCAAGTATCTGTTTAACTAGCAACATAGTTACTCGTGCATATTTAAAATACTACATAAGTATGGCCTGGTACAGTGACTCATGCCTGTAATCCTAGCACTTTGGGAGGCCGAGCTCAGTTTGAGACTTTGGACAACATGGTGAAACCCTGACTCTACTAAAATACAAAAATGTAGCCAGGTGTGGTGGTGGGTGCCTGTAGTCCAATCTACTTGGGAAGTTGAGGTGCAAGAATTGCCTGAACCTGAGAGGCAGAGGTTGCAGTGACCTGAGATTGTGTCACCGCACTCCAGCCTGGGTGACAGAACAAGACTATGTCTCAAAAAATGAAATAAAAAATAAAATAAAATAAAATAGGCCCTGTGCCACGGTTCACGCCTGTAATTCCAGCACTTTGGGCAGCTGAGGCGGGCAGACCACCTGAGGTCAGGAGTTCGAGACCAGCTTGACCAACCTGGTGAAACCCCATCTATACTAAATACAAAAAATTAGGCCGGGAGCGGTGGCTCAAGCCTGTATTCCCAGCACTTTGGGAGGCCGAGACGGGCAGATCAGGAGGTCAGGAGATCGAGACCATCCTGGCTAACACTGTGAAACCCCGTCTCTACTAAGAAATACAAAAAACTAGCCAGGCGAGGTGGCAGGCGCCTATAGTCCCAGCTACTCGGGAGGCTGAGGCAGGAGAATGGCGTAAACCCGGGAGGCGGAGCTTGCAGTGAGCTGAAATCTGGCCACTGCACTCCAGCCTGGGCGACAGAGCGAGATTCCGCCTCAAAAAATGAATAAATGAATAAATAAATAAATAAATAAATAAATAAATAAAATTAGCCAGGTGTGGTGATGCATGCCTGTAGTCCCAGCTACTTGGGAGCCTGAGGCAGGAAAATTGACTTGAACCTGGGAGGCAGAGGTTGCAGTGAGCCGAGATTATGCCACTGCACTCCAGCCTGGGTGACAGAGCAAAACTTCATCTCAGACAATAAAATAAAATAAAATAAAATAAAATAAAACTACCTGAGTTTGGAAACGTTGCTTTTTCCCACATTACTCACCTCCTTTACAGCACCAGCATCTTTGTTGACACAAGATCTCTTTTTAATTATGTCACAGTTTGTTGATGAATACGTCACCTTTGCTTCAGTTAAATCAAGTAGGATGCAGTGACTCCAAGTCTGAGGGGTACTTCCCAGGAAGAGCAACCCCCCACAGCCATTTGCAGAGCATCGGAGTAAGTTTTACCTTCATCCCTTAGATGTGAATTTGTTATCCTCACTGTGACAATCCCTTATCGCATGGCTTTTAGAAGGATTCTCAAAAAGCTAGACTCTCACATTCAACCTTGCAATTGCCTGGCTGGGTGTTACGTTTCTTTGCCTCCTATTAGAGACCCTGTCAGCATCCAAAACTAGCACTGTTTGAGGACGTTGGAGTCAATGGTTGTTTCCCAGATAGAACTTTGTGTGTCCAAATAAATGGCTCAAAATCATCAAGCGAATAAATACTCTGGAATAAGAGAAGCCTCGTGAGGATTTGACTCTAAACTGGCTTCCTCTGTTCTGCAGTAAGAGGTTAGGAATAAAACCAAACGTTGCCTGAAGTTCAGATATACTCAAAAGCAATGAGGTGTGGCTCAGGTGTGCACTGGCAAGGTCACCATGAAGTTCAGCCAGAGCCTTTGCAAGCCTGGGCCTGAGAAGACAGACTCCTTAGATCCAGAAGGGCCAGTGGAGCTGGGCTGGCCTGCTTGCCACTCACAGGCGGAGACTCTGCCAGCAGAAGGGACACTGCTGTCAGAGCTGGGGAACCGCGGACCACATGGCTGAGGCCCAACCCCAGGTCTCCTGACTCAAAACCTCTTCCCAGGGCTTGTCCTCCTCCCTAAATATATGTGCCCCAAATTGTCACCAGATCTCAGGAAAGCACTGGCTTTGTCTGGGATAAACACCAACTCCACAGCACACCCAGTCATTACCAGATTGGCAGTTGTTGTCTAGGTCTTGTGGCTTCTTGGGGTTTTCTCGGGTGTCTCTCTCCCAAATCTTTCCCCTTTCCTTTGATTATATTCACATAAACATTGAGTTTTATAGCCCTCAAGCTCTCTTAAGCATAACACACTTTGTCCCTCTCTGTTTCCCTATGCAGTTGCCCCTCCCTCTGCTGTCAGAGGCCCATCCAGCTGCTCCAGCCCTGTAGCTCCAGTGTCTCCTCCTCTCTCTTTCCCCTACTCTTTTTCTGGAAAGATCTATCTGAGGGTCCTGAAGGAGGAGACTCGAGGTTGTTCTCTTGGACAAAGAGGTCTGGGTGGATGACATAATTCACTTTACGTCTTAGAAAAATAACCTTGTGGCTCTTGGCTCTCTTGGGCTCTCATTTTGGTTGCCTAAGGGCTCTAGGCAGAGGGCCAGGGAGCCCAGCCCCAGCCTAGAGACTTGCAGGGCTCAGAGAGCTGCAGTGTTGGGGCGTCCGCTGTGCCTGCCGTCCCCCCTTGCCACGGACTCTACCTGCAGAACTTCACAGCTGAGAGGCTGGCCCCGAGCTTCCCCTTCATGCCTCCCAAAGCTTGCGATTGCTTAATTATACGCTGCTGCATACCAATTTCCATTTTCTCTCCTAGTGTGTTTTGACTGATAACTTTGACTTACCCTCCTGATGCCAGAAACTGTGTTAGCTACTGCTCTGGCAGCAGGAAAAGGCCGGTTCCAGGGAAGGTTGAATGCTTATTGTTCTGGATTATTTTGAGGGAAAAAAAAAAAAGAGGTACCTTGAAGAAAGATGAAGACAAAATATGGAAGGGTGCTGAATTTGCAAAAAGCCTAAGGGGAAAAAACTCAAATGTCCATCAGGAGTGGAATGAGTAAACAAATCATGGCATGTTCACACAATGGAATACTACCTACCAATAAACAGGAATGAACTGCAGATGCACACAGAAACATGGGTGAATCCACTAGGCACCATGATGTGTAGAATAAAGCAGACTCGGCCAGGCGTGGTGGCTCATGCCTGAAATCTCCACGCTGGGAGGCCAAGGTGGGTGGATCACTTGAGGTCAGGAGTTCAAGACTAGCCTGGCCAAGATGATGAAACTCTGTCTCTACTAAAAATACAAAAATCAGTTGGGTGTGGTGGCGCACGCCTGTAATCCCAGCTGCTCGGGAGGCTGAGGCAGAAAATTGCTAGAACCCAGGAGGTGGAGGTTGCAGTGAGCCAAGATCGCACCGCTGCACTCCAGCCTGGGTGACAGAGTGAGAATCTGTCTCAAAAAAAAAAAAAGCAGGCTCAAAAGAAGACATACTACATGGTTCCATTTATATGAAGTTTTAGAACAGGCAGAAATAATCCATGTGGATAGGGGTCAGAGCAGTCGTTATTGAAGAGCAAGGGAAAATGTGGATTGGCTGGGGAGGGACACAGAGGCACTTCTGGGAGTAGCCTGCATCTCATGCACAGTGGCCATCACACCTATGTATGTATGCAAAAATTCACCCAGCTCTTAATATTTATGCACTTTACTGTATGCATGTGATGTAGTTTGGATGTTGCCCCCTCCAAATCTCATTCTGCAATGTGACCCCCAACGTTGGAGGTGGGGCCTAGTGGGAAGTGGTTGGGTCATGGAGGCGGATCCCTCAGGAATGGCTTGGTGCCCTCTCTGCAGTGATGAGTGAGTCCTCACTCTATTAGTTCATGCTAGAACTGGTTGTTTAAGAGAGTGGCACTCCTCCCACCGCTCTTCTTCCTCCTCCTCTTCTCCTCTCACCTTGTGACGTGCCTACTCTCCCTTTGCCTTCTGCCTTAAGTGGAAGCTTCCTGAGGCTTTACCAGATGCAGATGCTGGTGCCATGCTTTTTGTACAGCCTGCAGAACCATCAGCCAAATATACATATTTCCTTTATAAATTGCCCATTCTCGGGTATTCCTTCGTAGCAAAACAAAACAGACTAATATGGCATGTTAGACCTCAATAAAAACCTTATAAAAATAGGTAAAGTCAATGAGGAGTCAGTGGAAGAGGATCCAAGGCTCAGAAAGAGAAGGAGGTATATGAGAAGCTGAGGGAAGCAAGGGAGAGCATTTCAATAACAGGGAGACATGGTGGACCAATGTAGAGAGACTCTTGGATTGGGTAACTGAGAGATTCTGTACTGACAGAAAAACTTCAACAAGATAGCTTCAACTTGAAGAAAGAGCAAGGTTAAGGGAGATTCTGGAGGCTGATTTTCTTGTTCTTGTGGTTTAAGTCTTGGAGGTGCCTGAAGATGTCTACAACTGGAAGAAAAGAAGCCACTGGAGCGGAAGGCGGGGAGGATAAAGTTTGGAGCAAGATTCTCAAGGAAGCAACAAGATCCTAAGGCAAGTAAATCTGAGTTTAGTTGGGAAAAGGAGGATCATTAGAAGACCAGGAGGGAAAGAAAAGGTGGTAGCGAGGCGTCTAGCCACTCTGTATGGAGCGTTTCTGAGGTTGCTACCAGCACAGGGTGAGCACACTGCTCCGTGGGAGGGATATGAGACCTTGAATACAGGAGTTGCTGTTGGGAATGTGAAATTTTTTCAACAAGAGGTCAGTACTGAAAGTGATAGAGGCCCGGAACTATAACCCGCTACACAACCAGGAATTCCCATTTTGACCAGTTACTAGCCAGGTTTGGGAACCCAAGGATTAATGCAGAGAAGGTGAGCGTGTACAGGTATTCCTCCGGGTTGGGGATTAACAATGCAGATTTGACAAAAAGTTGACAATTCTTGGAAAGTAAATATGTCTCTCAGAAGGACCCGTAATGACGGAAAATGATGGCTTAATATTTGTAACATTAAAGTCCCAAGAGGAGAGGATAATGAGTGAGGAGCTGAAAAAAGTTTGAAAAAATTATGATTAAAAATATTTCTGAATTTGGCAAAACACATAGACTTGTAGATTTGAGAAGCTCAGAGAATCCCAAACAGAATAAGCTCAAAGAGATTCTCACTTAAGAGACATCATAAGGAAACTACTGAAAACTAGAAACAAAGGAATTATCTTGAAAGCAGCAATGAAAAATGACATTGTTTATAAAATTACAATTATTTAAAGGGTGTAGATTTCTCATCAGAAACCATAGAGGCCAGGTCAGGCACTGTGGTGTAGGCTGTAATCCCAGCACTTTGGGAGGCCCAGGTGGGTGAATCACTTGAGGTCAGGAGTTCAAGACCAGCCTGGGCAAAACCTGGGCAAAACCCTGTCTCTACTAAAAAATATGAAACTTAGCCAGACGCTGTGGTATGTGCCTGTAGTCCCAGCTACTCAGGAAGCTGAGGCAGGAGAATTGCTTGAACCTGGGAGGCAGAGGTTGCAGTGAGCCAAGATTGCGCCACTGCACTCCAGCCCAGGCGACAGAGCATAGAAGCCAGAATGCAATAGAACATTTCAAAAAACCTTGTTTTGAAAAAATTAAGTTTCATAATGTCTCGTGTTCACTTTCTCTGATTTTCCCTAGTGATTAACATCTTACCTAACTATAGTATAATATCAAAACCAGGAAATCCACATTGGTACAATGTATGTGTGTGCATGTGTGTATGAAGTTCTATGCCGTTTTTATCACAGATGTAGACTGATGCACGTTCAGCCACAATCAAGATACAGAACTGTGCCATCACAACAAAGTTCTCCCTCATGTTGTCCCTTTAAAGTCACACCCACTGCTCTCCCATGACCCCATCCATCACTAACCCCTGGCAACCATTACTCTGGTCTCCAGTTCTACAATTTTGTAATATTGAGCATTTTACATAAATGGAATTATACAATATGTGACCTATTGAGAATGGATTTTTTTTCCTTCAATATAGTGCCCTTGAGATCCATCCAAGTTGTATGTATCAATAATTTGTTTCTTTGTATTATTGAGTAGTATTCCACAGTATGGATACACCACAGTTTGTTTAACCATTCTTCTATTGTAGGATATTTTGGTTGTTTCTAGGTTTGAGTTATTACATATAAAGCTGCCATGAAGAATCATATACAGGTTTTTGTGTGAACATGTTTCTATTTCTCTGAAATAAATGTCCAAGAATATAATTGCTAGATCATATGAAAAGTGTATCCTAGTGCTATAGTGTGAATTTTGTGTCACCCCCAAAAATTTATATGTTGAAACCTAATCCCCAATGTGATGGCGTTAGGAGATTGGGCCCTAGGGAGTTAATTAGATCTTATGGGCAAGGCCTTTATAAATGGGATTAGTGCCCTGAAGAAAGAGGTCCTAGAGAGTTGCCTTTCGTCCTCCACCATGTGAGGATACAGCGAAAAGGTGCCATCTGTGAACCAGGAAACCAGCCCTCATCAGATACTAAACCTGCCAGTGCCTTAATCTCAGACTGCCTATCCCCCAGAACTATAAGAAATAGATGTTTCTGGTTCAAGCCACCCAGTTTATGGTATTTTGTCATAGCAGCTCAAATGGAGTAACACACTCCTAAGAAACTGCCCAACTACTTCCCAAAGTGGTTGTACCATTTTACATTCTCACCAGCAATGTAGACCTAATTTCTTAGCATCTGGGTCAACATTTGACATAGATCCTATTTTAAATTTTATTTTTGCTGCTCTGATAGGAGGGTGGTGATATATAATGAGAGTCTTATTTCACATTTCCTTAGTGGGCAGTGGTGTTGAACATCTTTTCATATGCTTATTTTCCATCTTTGGTAAAATGTCTTTTCATGTCTTTTGTCCAATATCTAATTAGACTGTTTATTTGTTATTGATGAGCTTTAATAGTTCTTTGAATAAATTCTGCATATGAGTCCTTTATTGACTATCAGATATCAGAATTATTTGGAAATACTTTCTCCTAATCTGTACCTTGTTTTTGCATCATCTTAGGATATTTTACCAGCAAATGTTTTTAATTTTTATAAAGTCCAATTTATCAATTTTCAGTTTATACAACATGTTTTGGTGCCAAGTCTAGCCTAGTAGGAGCTCCTGAAAATGTTGTCCTGTTTTTTCCTGAAAGCTTTATAGTTTTACATTTTACATTTAAGTCTGTGATCCATTTTGAGTTTTGTTTTGCTTTTTTTTTATTTGTAATGTGTTAGGTATAAAGTACCTTTTTTTGTAAGCCCACACTTCCCTAGTTACTCAAGCACTGTTTGTTGAAAAGCCCATTCTTTATCCATTTTGGATCTTCATCAAAAATCATTTGGTCATATTTTTCTGGGTCTCTTTTTGGATTCTTTGTCTGTTCCACCGATCTGTGTGTCTAATCCTCTGCCAATACCAAACTGTCTTGATCACTGTTGCTAAGTAGAAAGCCTTGGCCTTGAGTAGACTGGTTCTTCTCCCTTATTCTCCTTTTTTTAGAATTGCTTAGGCTAGTTTAGTTCTTTTGACTTTTCATATAAATTTGAGAATAACCTTATCTACAGAAAAGGTTGCTGGTATTTTAATGCAAATCTTGTTAAAACTTTGTATGAATATAGGGAGAATTGTTGTCTTCCAATCTATGAATGTGATGGGTGTCTCTATTTATTTCAATTGCCTTTGATTTCTTTCATCAGCATTGCGTAGTTTAGGCATGTAAACCCCTCAACTACATGTTTTGCTAGATTTGCACCTAAGTATTTGTTTTCTTTTTTTCTGTGTGATTGCAAATGGTATTGCATTTTTAATTTGGGTTTCCATATGTTTGTAGCTAGTATATAGAAATACAACTAATTTTATGTTGATCTTATGACTTTGCTGAGCTTATATTAATTCTAGGAGTTTTTTGGTAGATTCCTTGGGATTTTCCACACACCTTTATGTAATCTGCAGATAGCAATAGTTTTAATTCTTTTCCGTCCTGCATGTCTTTTATTTCTCTTTCTTGTCTTATTGCACTCGCTAGAATTTACAGTACTATGTTAAACAGCCTTGCCTTATTCACGATCTTAGGGAGAAAGCATTACATTTTTCATCACTAAGTACGATATTGTAGATGTTTTTATCAAGTTGAGGAAGTTTCCTTCAGCTCCAAATTTTTTAGAGTTTTCATCATGAATGAGTATTGAATTTTGTGTTTGTCGTTTTTGCAGCAATTGAAATAATGATGTGATTTTTCTTCTTTAGGCCTGTTAATATGATGGATTACATTGATTGATTTTAGAATATTAAACCAGCCTTGTATTCCTGGGATAAACCCCACTTGGTCATGTTATATAATTATTTTTTATATTAAAGAATTCTATTTGTTAATATTTTTCTTACAGATTTTTATGTCTATATTCAGAAGGGACATTGGACTATAATTTTCATTTTTATACTGTCCTTTCCTAGTTTTAGCATCAGGGTAATACTGATCTCATAAAATGAATTAGGAGATGATCTTTCCTTCCTCTACTATTTTCTGGATTACACTGTATAAAATTGGTGTTAATTGTTCTGTAAACATTTGGTATAATTCTCCAGCAAAACCCCCTGAACCTATAAATTTCTTCCTATGGCTTTTAAAAATTATAAATTAATTTTTCTTAATAGTTATAAGGCTATTCAAATGATCTATTTCATTTTAGATAAATTGTGGAAGTTTGTGCTTTTCAAGCAATTGGTCCATTTCATCTAAGTTGTCAAATTTACGTATCTAGAGTTATTCATAGTATTTTCTTATTAACTTTTTGATGCCTGCAGGGTCTTTAGTGATATCCCCTGATTCCTGATGTTGGCAATTTATATGTTCTTTTCTTCTTTGTCACTCTTGCTACAGGTTAGTCAACTTCATTGACCTTTTCAAGGACTAGCTTTTGTTTTGTGGATTTTCTCTATTGTTTCTTTGTTTTCATTTTCACTGCTCTCTGTTCAGTCTTTTTATTTCCTTCTGCTTGCATTGGGTTTATTTTGCTCTTCTTTTTCTAGTGTCTTGAGGCCAGAGCTTAGCTTATTGATTTGAAGAATTTCCTCTTTAAACCATGGGTTACTTAGAAATGTGTTGTTTAATTTGCAGGTATCTGAGATTCTCCTGCTATGTTTCTGTTACTGATTTCTTGTTTGATTCCACTGTGGTCCAAGAACACACTCTGTATAATTTCAATTATTTTACCTTTGTCAAGGCTTGTTTTACAGCCCAAGATATACTGTATCCTGGTGTATGGTCTTCGGGCACATGAAAAGAATGTGTGTTCTGCAGGTTTTGCGTAGAGTGTTCTAGAAATGTCAATTAGACCCTGTTGGTTGATGATGTTGTTGAGTTCTTCCTCATCCTTGCTGATTTTCTACTTGGTTTTATATCATTTGTAGAGAAATGGTAGCAAAACGTCCAATGATAATTATGAATTTGTCTATTTTTCCTCTCAGTTCTGTTGGCTTTTACTGCACATATTTTGGGTGCCTCCTCCTTGTGGGGGGCAGCCCAAACTCCCTGTGTGTTCTCCATTCACACTGCATGGAGGAGGGTCAGCAGCTCGTTATCTCCAGGCAGGAGCAAAAGTCTCATCCAGAGTCTGCACTTGGCCTTCCTGACACTACCCGGGGAGCTGGGGTTGGGAGGCTGAGGTCCCTAGTCTGGCTGTCTTCTTCTCTATATCTTTCAGAGTCTTCTTATGTTTGTTTTATACAATACCTTAGTTGTACTTAGTGAGAAGAATAAGGAAAAATATATCTACTCCATCTTTCCAGAAGCAAAAGTCTCAAAGCATTGAACTTTAAAAATCACTAATTGATCCAGTTTAGCTGTGCTACTGTCAATGGTGACCAGGGTTGGCTGGTGCCTACCTTTCAGAGGTGACACACTAGAGAGGAGTGCACAGGACACCAACTGCAGTGTGGTGGGGTGCATCTCAAGAGTAGGTCGGACGCTGGGCCCTGCATACGAGAGGTGTTCACTGGGCTCACGGGGTAGAGGAGCCAGATCTGTGAGGCCTGGAGGGTCCCACGAGGTGCCTAGACTTCAGCCTGAGAGCAGAGGAGGTCATATATGGGTCATAGCTGAAGTACGGGTCAGAAACAGATGTTAGTAATGTCACTGCATTCAATGCATTGCCCACTGGGTTGGCCCCAGTTGCATCCCCAGACTGCTCAAAGCAGGAGGGAGCCACAGGAATTGAATGTGTAGAATGTGTGGTGCTGGCTTAATGCTTCCGTGCTAGCAATTTTTTTTCTTTTTTCTTTTTTTTTAGAAAGGGTATCACTCACTCTGTTGCCCAGACTGGAGTACAGTGGCACGATCTTGACTCACTGCAACCTCCGCCTCCTGGGTTCAAGCGATTCTCGTGCCTCAGCCTCCCCAGTAACTGGGACTACAGGCATGCACCATCGTGCTCAGCTAATTTTTGTATTTTTTGGTAGAGACAGGGTTTCATCATGTTGGCTAGGCTGGTCTCAAACTCCTGACCTCAAGAACATTTGCTAAAAGTCACACTCTCACAGTCACCGATTGCCTAAAAGCCACTATGTTAAAAATCAATTTGCAAAATGACAATTTCACAAATTCCCAAATCACTAAAAACTTCTTTATAGTAATTATTTACAAAATGTGTAAGAATATGTGTTTCATAGAAAGTTTCGAAATCTGTTAATGATTTTTTCCCAACATTTTGGCCTTTGGTTATATTTAGTTGAGATGTTGCACTTTTAGTTTCTCTACCACTGTTTTCTATCAGATTTATAGGCATGTGGTTCATGTTTCAAAAGCTGACTACTCCTCAGTAGTTACTATAAAGGTTTTGGCAATTCATGAGGCTTTTCATATTCTAACCTTTGGTTTTCAGAAAAGATGGTTTTGCCCTTCAAGTGCAATTTTACACCAATTTTCATCATCTTTTTTTTTTC